CTTGTGCAATCAGCCATCGGTGTGTGTGTAGGGTGTTGTAGTCCAGTGAGACGCGGGAAGAACCGTGGCCCCTGTTGGCTTCTACCTCCTCCCCGAACCATTCAGTCCTGAATGGAATCAATTAGCCCTCTGCAGGGGCCACGCGGATTCTGCTGAAAGGCCAATGAACACGTCGACATCTCCGCCGTCCCGTCGGTCAGCTAATCAGCATTGGCATTCTCATTCTCTCCCCACGCCTCGCTCTGTCACTCCTCATCTTCGCCTTGACGGACATTTGATAGAATTACAGATCTGTTGAGAAGCAGGGCTGCAGCCTGCCCCGCTGTTTGCAACGTTTCTGCCAACAGCTACGATTCCTCTGAAGCCTCAACCTCTCGCTTGCTTTGTAGACGTTTTTTTTTTTTTCTTCAACTTTCTTTCAAGTGCATTTGAAATATTTCAAGCAAAGTGATTGTGATGTCAGGAAAGAGTTAAAGTTTTTGGGGAGAAAAATAAGTGTTATGTGGGGGTTTTTAGAAATGTGCACTACACCTGAAATCAACATAACTTCTTGTTCTCCCTTGCAGTGAATTCACACGTTGACGGCATGGCTGTTCCTGGCAATGTAGATAAAACCAAAGGCGCAGACGAAGACTCAAGTGAGAGAAGTTGTTTTTTTTTTTATTCTGATTAGCGATATAACATAACGTATTAAAACAATGACTTATCGCTGCTTGTTTAACCTGTAGTGAACCTTTTTGTGTTTCAGATAAGCTGACCCTGATCATAATTGTTGTAGCTGCGACAGTGTTGGCTCTTTCAGTCGCCGCAATAGTCAGTAAGTATTCTGTGCTTTTCCTGGGATATACTGACCTGTTTTATTCCCATAGTTAACAAGTGTACTGCTGCGAAGCCCTTCAGCTCTTGGCCAGAATCACTGTAGTCCCTGTGTGCCTTGTAAAGCTGTTAATACCTAAGCAAATATGAACCTTTTCTCTTCTGGAGTTTGACCTTTTTTTTCTCCATTTTTCTTTCTTCACTTGCAGCCATAATGTTAGTAAGACGCCAAATGCACAAGCGGCCGCAAGGGTAAGGTCATATTACTTCACTACCGCAGTTGATATTTGACTGTCGTTTTCTATGTATCTTTAGTATCTGTGTCCTTGGGTGCACGCTCGAGCGTGAAGAACACATCTTTGTCCTTCTGTGCATACTGTGCCTCGCTAAGAAATTCATGTTTCACTTTTACGCTAAGTCAGCCTCCAAAGTGACAGAACCAGTCTGGTGGGTAACAGCCTTTTTCTGCTGCCTTGTCAATTTGCCCCACTTCATCCAACTCATCAAAATGAGAGCAAAACACTCACCAAAAAAAAAACACACACACAACCAGCATCCACCCATTTGAGCCCGTCTGGACTTGTACAGCAATTAGTATTACAGCCTGAGTCCTTCGCTGCCACCCTCCCCACCTATCTGTCTTAGCCATCAAACAATAGCTTGGAGACAGTGCCACCGGGTCTGTATGACCAAACGGGACAGGACCTAACCTGTTCCGAAGCTTACCTCGTGAACTGAAGCCTTACAAGACGGCTCTGCTCAGAAAATAAGACAACCCTGTAAACATGTTCCTGGCCTCATGACAACAATCGGCCAACGGCAATCAGACAGCAGAACAGCCTAAACCAGTTATACAGAGAAAACCCTCTCCTTGCACTTGGCCTCTGTTCCACACGTTGTCTATTTAACCGCACTTAGCAGCAGGGAGGCTTTTTTTTTTTTTGCCGAGTAATCAATTTCTTTTGTTCTGGAGGTGCAGTATATAATATGACCCGCGGGTTGGGTCAGAAGGGTAACAGAGTTCAAATTGGTCTCTGGAGCTCCCTTCGCAGCGGGAACCATTGTGGTGGAGCAGACACCCAAGTCAATCTGTAAGGGGTTAAATTCCTCTGCAGGATTACTGGCTGTCTCCCGGGGCTGCAGTCAGCTCTGGCAGTGTTTGGTGCTGACTGATCGCTCTGTTGAAAAGAGGCTTAATCACACAGCAACCTCTGGCTTGTTGGATCAACAGTGCCTTGCCAGGTTTATAAGTCCCACCTGGGGATGAGCTGTGTTTTTGAGGTGATGCAGTCACCGTGCACCTGTCAAAGCCCCTGCAGCATGAGACAGACGTGCCGTTTCCTGAGTTCTGCCACATAGGGATGTTTTTTTTTTTTTTTTAATGTATTTTTATTCTGCTCAAAAGCTGAGAAAGAACCTAAAAATATCTTAAGGATGACATACTTTTTTTGCTCTTGCCCTGTCTCACCTCACACCTGTCCTCTGCTCTCTCTTAGGGTCTACTCCGTGCCGACGGAACAGGATCAGAAAGGGGGCGTCTAAATCCTGGCGGTGGAGCAGCAGCAGCGCTACAACACACAGGCAAGAGAGGAGCAGTGCATCAGGCTATGCTACCTCCTCCTCCTCTTTGACTCAGGACAGTTAGACTTCTTTGCACAACAGCCTGCTTCTCACTGCTCACTTCACTCCTACACAACCTACTATACATGTGTAACCATGCAATCCGGCTGTTTTTTCTTCTTTTTCCCGTTGTATACTTTTGTGTTTGTCCCCGCTGTTTGTACTCCGCATACACACAATTTAGCCTGGGACATTTGGAATACATTCAAACCTTCTAATTGGATTCTATTTGAGGAATCCAAATCAAAGCCTGTGAATATGGCTTGAAGCTTCTTTTGTTAAAAGGGATAATTTAGAACAGCTAGAGCTCCCCCCTTTTTTTTTTTTGCCGCCTGAAACAAGAAATTATTCCCACTAGCTATGCAGAGTGTTTGATTTGGTGCATGTGGAACAGACCTGTCTCTGTGAAACGGTCGTTGAGTTAGACAAACCAATGCTAATCCACGCTAAGCCAGCCCAGCGCTCACTTGATTCTCTTATTCACTTGTCTGACATCTTCTGTTCCTGGCCCATTAGGAGTGACAGGCGGCAGCGCAATGGAAAGATTAAAAACCTGTTCCCCCTCTTCACAACCTCCGTCAGAAAAAAAGAAAAGTAACAAGTGGAAATAGCCAGTGTGAACACCTTTTTTTTTTTTCCTCCAAATGCTGCAAATTAATCGACCACCGTGAATGATGATGTTTTCTTTTCTCCTTCCCCCCTTCTTGTCCCTTTTTTTGAAAGGCTTTCACTTTAGTCCCGCAGATTGTAAATAGCTCTCTGAATGCTGTGGAGAATTAGATTAATGCCTCCCACACTGGTGGAGAGACGCTTGGTGTGAGGCAGGGATAAAAATCTGATGATTGGGAAAATACCAACAACGCCTTTTGTTTCATTCATGTGGAGCATGAAGGGTTCTCCGATTTCATTTAAATGAAATCAATCACGCCGCGTGAAGGAAGGCTCTCCATCCAGGAACTTAAGACACCGGTTGCCTTGTTTGTTTGTTTGTCAGCAAAGGTTAAAGTGGGAGCAGGACTGTTTGACGCTTTTTCACTGATAAGAATAACAGGAAGAGCTACATGGAGTTAAACACTGGATTTGTCCAAGCAGGATCTCACTTCTCTTCCACTAAATTTTGCAGCTAATCTTGCCACTTGAGAGGGAGGAGGGAGGGTTTGGCTGCACTCCAGCCAGGAAAAAAAACAAAAAAAAAAAGTTGTGTTGTCTTTATCATTGTGTACAGCGACTAGCAGTTTGTTCTGAAGCGCTATCTTCTGAGCGACGCTTCTCAGTCGATGTAACGCAGACAAAATTGGCGGATGTGATTATTGTTTGTGCGTTTGTTTTCCCGTTCATATCTGAGCGCTGTGCATACAGTGTGTTAGTTCTCAGAAGTGTAGCATCGCTCAATAAGCCCTCGATTTATATCAGCATTTCAAAGGGAGGACAGTTTGACAAAAAATTGCGGCACAAAACATTTCAGTTTTATATATATATATATCTGTATAGTCATATTTACTGAAGCTCACTATGTCTGTTGGAAAAATAAATCGCAGTGCAACAACATTTGAGTGCAGCAGAGTCTTCTCTCTTTGAATGCATTTTCCTAAAAGCAAACAGATTTAAGCAGAAATCCAAAGAGAGCATTTGGTCCACTCTGCTCCATGCTTGTGAGCAAACTCTGTTACTCCCTTTTTGTAAAAAGAAAAAGCCTCACTGTTGTGACACTACTCATACACAAAACACATGTAGCTTTATTGTTTCTATCTCAAAGTGATGTATGTGGAAATAAAAGCTTTGATTTTCTATTGGAAACTGACAGATGTTTTCTGCTAAGGCTAAAGGCGATGTCTGTCCATGCAACTGTTCTGTTCGAGCTTTTTAAATATATAATATATTGTATGAATTAAAGATTCACTGAGGTGCTTTTGCATCATGTCTCTTGATGGAAAACAAATATTTGGATAAATTGTCTTTTTACATTTTTCTTGTGGGTGGGGGGTCGGTTACTGACCAAGAACTCTTTTATGTAAAATATTTGTATTTTAACGTCATATTACAGCCAAAAAAACAAACAAATAAAAAGCTAAATTGAACTTATTGTTAAATACTGACTATCATTTATGCACTTTTCTTTCCATATTAACTCAGACAATGATTTTCTTATCATTTAATAATTTGCAAAGTCTGTATTACACAACCTGATATCTCACCAGGAAACAGTTGCAGTACTGGACTGTATAGCTTGGTTCTGTTTGCACAGCTGCAGCCACTTTGATTTTTGTTCTGATAGCAATTTAAAAAAAAAACACAGTGAATACTACTGTATATTGTGTAGCTATGCTGAACTCTGGATTTTGTGTTTATTTTGACATTAAAAATGTTATTAAAAAGAAAAAAAAAACCCTCCTCAGTTTCCTGTTGTTTGAATAATGTTTGATGCCATATGGATGCAAAGATAATGTGCCAATGGATGCTGTTTAATCTAGAGCTCACAAGCGTAGAGCCACTAAGAGGCTTAGACGCTCTCACTAAACATCAGTTTTTTTGTTGAGATTGAAAGTGTGAAAGAGTGGAAGAGGAAGACGACAGAGCTTCTTTATTTTTCACATGTATATACCCTCACAGAAGGGGCTGCAGGAGACCGTCAAATATGAGACGCCGTGGGGTTTATTCCTCATAACCTTTAATAATAATCCTAGCTGTGAGACTTTGCCTATGGCTGTGTTATCAGTTACAAGATACAAAGGTCATTAGGAGCAAGCCTGCTTCATGGCTGAAGGTGTGATTAAAAATATGAATCATCTCTTCATTATTTTTGCCAAGATAAATAATCACTTTTAGGTTCGGCAACTATAGAAATAAAATTTAAACAGGTGATGTTTCTCCATTTTCTTCTCTCTCTTTACTTGTCAGAATGAATCATGTTTTCTGTCTTTCTTTATTGTTTTTCTATGACACGGTTGCTAAGCAGCGTACGGTCTGTCAGTCAACACGCACGCTGCCAGGTGTTGAGGTTTTTTTCTTCTTCTCTTGATGGACTCCTTAGCATTTGTGCTTTTGTCGCCTTATCCTTGGACCTCTCTATATGATCTAGGAAAAGAGAGAGAAAAAAAACCAGGCATCAGATCAAGCGCTGTTTCAGCCATCAGTGATATTTATTAAATATAAGGCGAGCAAACAATGTTGCTCTGTTGCAGTTTTGCCCAACAAATAGCTTAATCATAATTCTTTTGATCTATTAATCATCACAGACATTTCAGTCAGCATTCTGTTGAGCTATTGTTTGCCATATATCATCCACTAGCCTGTGATATAAATTATTGAAATCATTCAACTGCAACTTTCCGACAACACAGCTCGCTCAGTGGACTGCAATGTAGTCAGACATCACTTCTCTGTCACATTTCTTTACCTTAAATTATAGTTTTGTTTCTAAAAAAAAATGAGCATGACCGAGTATAAAGTAAATATTCATGCTGTAAACACTTACTTTGGTGGCTTCTTTTGACACCTGGGCAGCTTGCAGACTTTGCCACCTACAGGCACAGAGAAGATAAGATAGGATTAAACTTTATCAATCCTGAAGGAAATTCTTGTGCCAGATATTGCCCAGAAAAAAGTAAAATGACATAACATAAGAAATGCAGTGCCTTGAAGTAGAAAAGCAATAAGATATGAGTACAATCCAAGACTGAAATCATATAAGTGAGCTAAAATAGGAGTAGAATAGAACAGTTCAAGGTAATGTTGGGGATTAGACTGAGCGAACACTCTAATATCACATATGATGATAAAATATTGCATCTGAAAAACAAGATATAATACCAACGGAGATGTCACTGAACTTATTTATGTTGCACATTAAACGATTTATTTGTTGATCCAACTGTTCTGCATGCATTAAAGGCACAAATAAAGTTTTTTTCAATTAATTTGACTTCAGCTGAATTGAATAAATAATAATGTTGCAACTAAAATGTTGCAAAAGGAAATCAGATGTCCATCCATCCATTATCTATACACCGCTTAATCCTCACGAGGGTCGTGGGGGGCTGGAGTCTATCCCAGCTGACTCAGGGTGAAGGCAGGGGACACCCTGGACAGGTCACCAGTCTATCACAGGGCT